ATATATATATATATATATATATATATATATATATATATATATATATATATATATATATATATATATATATATGTGTGTGTGTGTGTGTGTGTGTGTATATATACTGTACAGGTATACACAGATGGAGTCAGACTTTTTAGCCCCCTTGAGATTTTTTTTTCTTTTTTAAATATCTCTCAGACGGTGTGTGAGAGCGCGAGAAATTTCTCACAGTATGTGTGATTATATTGTGTCTTCGAGAAAAAGTCTTATTCGTTTTATCTGGGCGAGAATAAGAGCAGTTGTGAATTTTTTAAAGACTCTTTGTGGGACAGAATTATAATGTGTAGTCTACAGCACAATACATCTATATACATATACACGCATAATTACCTTAACCTGCATAGTTCTCTATATTAACCTAGATATGCCTATAAATTTTACTTTAAACTGTATAGAAGTGTCTTGAAAAATATCAAGTCAAATATTATTTACTGTCATCATGGCAAAGATAAAATAAATCAGTTATTAGAAATAGGTTTTTAAAACTATATATATATATATATATATATATATATATATATATATATATATATTATGTCAAAACAAACTTTTATTTTGGATGCAATTATTCACAGTTAATCTTTGCCCAGCAATTATTATTTAAATAATTATTATTATTTTTTTATTATTATTTTAAATAATTATTTAAATGTTTAACGCAAAAAAACTGCTTAAAATAATTATGAATACACTTACTTCCTACAATATATGCAGTGCAGAACAAGTTACACAAAGTTGTTTATTCTTTTAGCTTATGGATTTGATCATTTCAACAACAGAGAGGCTTGCCTTATTGACCTTTTTTTTATTTAAAGAAACATACAGTGTAATATTGTATCCTAAATATATCACTAACTGTGTTTCTCAGGTCAACACATCCTAGCAAGCACTTGACCCATGACCATTATTCATGCTTTCAAATGAAAGGCTTGTGCACGCCTGCAAACCCAACCAAAGCAATCAATCAGACCATCAATATCCACTGATTGGAGGTGACCACTATTGAGTTCACCTGCGAGCCTGAAACATGCTGCAATTCTCCTTCAACCCTTTCCACACCATTCCTTTCCCTTCTCCTCTCTTTCCTCTCATCCCTCTCTTATCGATCCCTTGCTTTCACTGCCACCGATTGCACTTTAACACCTCATTTTCCCTCCCCTCTCGTTCAGTAGCCTCCTCCATCTCTCTCATATAATCCACGTTAAACACGCTCTCAGCACACCTCATCTCCACGTGAGCAAACCAGCTCTTTTACACCAGCAGCAGACGCAAGAAAATCATCTCCATTCTGCATGTCTCATTTACACAAACATGAAATAGGATTTTTCTTGCAGGACATGATTTATGCATCCTCAGTTACGCCCAGATGTGGGATGCAGCGATGCCCGGCGTACTGTATGAGCTTACCCTCTCTGATTCAATACAGACATTTTAATTATTGAATCAATAAGGAGAGGGTTTAAAAATAGAACATGGAGAAAAGCCAAGAGTATCACCACACACACACACACACACACACACACACACGCACATACTCACCACTGTTTATCAATAATCAAATAGTTGAATGATGGAAAATACAGAAAAATCCTGAATGGTTTTTCTTGTAATAAATGTGATGGTTAATGTTGAATTATTTTGATTATTTGTGCAGAATTAGATTGTTTTATATTAATAAACTGACTATAATATCATAAAATCAAGTGTTATTACAGATAAATTACAAATGCAAACAAAACATGATACAAAATTAAAAGGAAGACGTGAAGAGATCACTTGTAATTAAAGGACATTCAGGTTTGCACGTTCTCCTGTGGAGAATAAACCCATAACAAGAGGAGTATGATAAAGATGATTTATTGTACGTCTTTCAGGAACCATTTTTCGGTTAGATAACGTAAGAAAAAACGTGTAAATCTCTTACCGTGAGATGTCAGAGAGATGCTGATGCTCCGGGATGCTGATGTTCAATCCTGCTCGTCTATGCGCCCTCGCACACCTTTATTATGAGAGGCGGCCCCGCCTACTTTCTCTTCTGGTTGGTCAGGACTAACTTTCGCTTTAAATCGCGCTCATTTACATTGTTTATGTCACCCGCACTTCTACTGACCTTATACTAAAAGATAAACATTAACCTAACAGTTTTTTACTTGAATACTTCGATATGGCGAAATAAACGCCAGTCCTTTGACTGGATGTCGTAAGGGCTCACAAGGCGTTTGTGGGAGTTGTAGTTCTTCGTAAAACCTCTATGTTTTGCCTTGAACTATCAGAGGTGTTTAAAAGAACTACAAAACGTCACGTTTTGGATCGTTCCATCCCCTTTCTAGTTTCTGATTGGTTCTCGCAGCCTCTTCATCCCGCCTACATCCTTTAGATTGGTCATGCAGAAAACTTCCGTCTTTAGCGAGCGATTCCACACAGAAAGGAAAATATTCAAAAGAGTTAGCGAGCTAATCAGCAGTCAAATAAACACATATAGGAGCTCCACACAGGTAGGAGAAGCTTGAAACACGTTTTAACGTTTACCTGCTTTTAATTGCGTTTATTTCGCTGTCGTTTGTGTGTAACGTTAAAATGATTTGTGCTGCTCTAGCAGTCACCTACCTATTAGACTTTAGCAATCCGGCTAATCAGATCTCCACAATAGATCAGAGACAATGAAAAGTAATTGTGTGTAAATACAAATATTTGTAGGCTTCATTAAAAGAGGCCTTTTAAGGCGAGTAATCACCGGGTTTCAAGTTTTAGAAAGTAGATCAGGTTTAAAGACAGCAAAATCAGGCCTACTGAAGATCAAGAGAAAATATAGGATTAGGATGACACTATTTATTTTAAAATGGCGTTTGATTTTTAACCAATCAGTATTTTCGAAAGCGATCAGATAGCTGTTGTAACGTTACAAATAAACAAACGTTGATAGATCCCGGATCTATTTTAAGGACAGTCATCTGAATCAGGCAGTGTTCCTCAGTTCTGATAAATATGATGACGTCACTGTTGGGTGTAAACCTGAGAAATTTGACAGCTTAAATCGGTCATTAGATTTTGCCTATTGTTACACTGTTCCTTTTCTATGACACGTTTATTTGTCTGTTCAACAGTTTAGCCAAATTGTCAATGAGTTTGTGTTGTTGAGAAGCAGATCAGAAGTTAACCATCTAAATTGAGTTGTCACTGTGTTTGGATGCCAGAGATACTCAAAATAATCACACACACACACACACACACACACACACACACACACACACACACACACACACACACACACACACACACACACACACTCACACGAGGCTATTGTTGTTTTACAAATGTAATAAGCATTTAAATTAAGAAAAGGTTGGTTTTATATTAACACATTCAGACTTTCTCATGTAATGTAATTTCATAAAGATATTTATTGCATATTCTAAACAATCCAATCATATTAGCAGCCAATGGCTATCATTGAGGTAAAGTTGGTTTTATATTCGCACATTCAGTCTTTCTCATCATTAATAATATAATCTCAGAAAAGTATTAGTTTGAAAATCTAAATAGTAAAATTATATTGTCAGTCAACAATCATCAAAGTACAGCATTGTTCACAGTCAAATAAATAATGCTAATGTTGTTTTAAAGTCATTCTTAAATGTGATATCAGACCCTGTATTCAAAGTACCATGGTAAACAATGTATGGATCTGTCATGGAATGAATGTGTGATTATAAAACCAACTTTACCTTTATGTGACTATCAAAGTAAACATATTGTTTACAGGAAATCTAATAGTGCTAATGTTGTTTTGATATTATACCTGCATGTGCTTTCACTCAGAATATTCTTAGTACTGTGGTAAAAAATATAAGGAGGTGTCTCTGAAGGATTGTGCGGATATAAAATCAACTTTACCTCAATAGCATTTAAGAGGAGATTTGTGCAAGCTAGTCAACATCAATACATCATAATTTTAAAACTGTCCCTGTTTGTTTTTTTTTATTGACGTAAAGTTGTTTTATATTAGCATATTTAGACTTTCTGCTTAATAATAAAATTTCAGAAAGGTAAGTATTACTTTCAAATTACAAATGAAGAAAATCATATTAACAGCTAATGACCATCAAAGTACATTGTTCATAGTCAATTAAATAGCGCTAATGTTGTTTTGAAGCCGATCTTGCATGCGATTTCAGACCGAATATTGAAATTAGCTTAGTAAACAATAAAGGGACCTTTAAAAAAACAAATGTGCAAATATAAAACCAACTTTACTCAGTTTATTTTCTGGTCACAGTTTTATGGTTAAAATAAATTGTAGTTTTATTTTAAAGCATGTGAAATTATTTGAAATCATCATACTTGCCCAATGTGACAAAAATAAATGTAAACAGTTTAGCAATAAAATAAATCACATTTTGTTTTATGTCTGGTAAAATACAACACATCAGAACAAATTACTTAAAAATAAGGTTGTTGATTCTATTATTAAACTATAGTGCCATTTAGGCATGAGTTTGACAGTATGATAACCTTGGATATTAATATCACGGTCTCGGTATTGTGATTACTGCTTTAAGATATATTATTTTTAAAATGTCTGCCTGTTGTACAAAACAAAAACACAGTTTTTCCTTTGAACACAATAGATACTATTTTGTAAAACATTTTAAACATTTTGGAGCAGTAAACATGTCAGGCTAAATAATTAAAATGAACGATTAAGGGTGCAGTAGGTGATTGTCTTCAGAAGCATGTTTTGTTGTGCTGGTTGAAAGTGTCTTCACATTCCAATAGTAACGATTACAGTAAATGATCTAAATGTGTTTATGTATTTTTATATTCTGGGTAAGGCATAAAAATAAAAAATGTTCTTCCAATTAAATATTGTCAGGCCGACATCTCCCATAATTCCGATAAGTAGCTGAATTGAAAGTTTTTAAAATCTTGAATCAATATTGGAGTTAGTTTCGCACACTGGAGGAAGGATGACACCATGGCTGAAGGATTTCTGTTAGATGGGTAATCTTCTGTTTTAAAACTATTTTAGTCAGGCTAAGCATATGTAGATTGTGTTGTTATGAATGGGTTAGATGCACAGAAGTGTTATTCAACCACTGAAATCTCCCGGCAAAAGATTGATGTGACTATTTCAGTTTTTTAAGGGCCTTTTAAAGCATAGATAATGTAGATTTATATTTAGTTTAACAACAAAACATCAGTAAATAGCTGTATTCCGCCTAGTTAGCCTGCTTTACTGAGCTGAAGTTGCTTTTATATTCATATCACTGCTGAAAAATCCAGCTTAAACCAGCCTAGGTTAGTTTAAGCAGGTTTTTTCAGTAGGGATTGGTTCATTTTTGAACAATGACAGCCTCACTATATTGTTTACTGCTACTCTGAATATACGCTCTGAAATAGCATGTAAGTTTGACTTAGCAATAAGTGAAATTCTTGCACGCTGCGGACCAAACACTAACTGCATTTCTAACTGGCGAATGACATGAACTAGCTGGTTGTCTGCTGTCGTGTCTCGGTGTGGGCGTTAGCGATTTCAGGAGGCATGGCTTTAAAACACAGTCCCTCCCCGCCGTCCAAAGATAATATGCTAAGCGGTTAGCATTTTGGCAGATCACCTACTGCACCTTTAACTTCTGCTATCTCAATTAGCTTAAAAAACGATTTCTTTACTATTTAAAATTGACTTTTTGGATATCTTTTCTTCTGGAGATAATATTGTCTTAAACAAACAAAAAATTCTTAAATTAAAAAATCATACATATACTAGAGCTGCACGATTCTGGCTAAAATGAGAATCGCGATTTTTTTTTTTGTGCTTAAAATAAAGATCACGATTTTCTCACGATTCTGTTAATGTAAAATAAAGGTATGGTAAAAACAAACATATGGCACAACATTAATAATAATATTATGTGTAGGGCCACTGGTTTCTATAAAAATTCTATTCTACTTATAATAATTCTGATGTTGAATTATTATGTTTGAGATATATGCTTGCAATCTGTCATATTAGACAATTTTATTCACTAGTAAAATCAGACATTTGCCATTATCAGATTATATTCAACAATATATATAGGCTAGAGTAGTTATATTGACACTGTAAACATTTATTTTCATAAACAACTGTGTGTTCGCTATGAAAGAAAAAACATCAAATGCTTTTCGTAATCATAACTCTAAAATGCAGTATGATTATTTAAATGACGTGCACACTTTCGGTTTAATTTTGACTGCTAAGTGCTTGTTCATACTTCGCGCGCGGCTCCCAAACGATCACTCTGTGCCACAAACAGAATATTATTTACAACTGTATCACCTGTTACTCGCAACATATGCATGTTCTGTTTACTAAAGTAGACGTGCGCGCGTCTATCATTAAGTATCTCTGTGATAACAGCTCACGGTCAGCAGCTCGCATCACGTGTGATTTCCCGGCCGCGAAAACATCATTATATGAAGACAAAAATGACATTTTTAGGTGAATTATACCTTATAAATACAGCATGGGACTCATTCAACATCATTTCCATGTCACTGAGCAACGTATGTGAAATGATGAAAAGACTCGTGGAGCCGCCTTCTCTCCTGAACTTGAAAATATGATTGACAGAATCGTAGAAATGCTGGATTAAGATCGTCTAGGGGGTCGAATCGAGATTACGATCGCGATCTTTTAACAATTAATTGTGCAGCTGTAACATATACCATAGAAACAGATCAGAAAATGTTGGCAGTATTAAAACCTTGAATTTTCCAAACCGCATAATACCTTCGTCCCATGTCGAGTGCAATTATATGACTTGAATAACCCCCAAGTTCTGACATTTTCTATTGTTTGTTAAAGCATTTAAAATTTCATTGCTTAGATTATTAAAATAAATACATATTTAACAACATTCACTCATAATACACTAGTAGAGTCACAACTGTGTGCTGAACAAAAACTAAATATCCTATTGTCATCCATAATTGCATGATATCATATTGAGGAAGTTCAATATTTGGCAGCACGCTCCTTCACTTAACCATGAGTGGATCTATTGATTCACGTTCTCCATCTTGATTAAGCCTCTATGCATTATAAAGCAAAAATGTAGCATGGGTGTATCTGATTCAGGATTCACCTGCGTTAGGGTGTTACCTTTTTCAGCGCCAAGGTCAGAGACACTAACAGGAATCAGGTGTTAGTTGGCCTTTGTCAAGAGGAAAAAGGTGAGTCATTATAATGCATATGTAACCTGGCAGTCATGTTTTATAAGAGGAGTGCTGGTATTTGCAACCATTAAGTGAAGCAACATTCAGCTCTATTTTGGCGACGTCACATTGATCCCTGTGAATGTCACCTAGATAAGGCCACCTCCCACAGCGGGGCCAAAGGCCTTCCGATCAGGTGGGAATTGTGACTCACGGCCTCCTGTCCATTAGTCTGAATCGGCGGCATTGAGATAAGCGTGCCTCGCTTTCAATGGTTTGTAATGTTCCTTGTAGCTTGAGAGGAACCATGACCTTCTGCAGATAACAACAAGCGCTATTGTTTCACACGTGTTGGGTGAAGGTATAAACACTTTGGCATGTTGTTGTAGACGTTACGAAGAAATTAGATGCCTTGAGGCTTGCTCATATACCAATGAATGATAACTATATAGGAATAATTACACAGTTTGTTTTAATTCTGAGAATAAGGGGAAGTCCATGATAATGATAAAAGTGTCCTGCCTACATGCTTTAGATTGGCCATGCAGAAAACTAAACTTCCGTCTTTAGCGAGCGATTTCACACAAAAAGGAAAATATTCAAAAGAGTTAGCGAGCTAATCGGCAGTCACATAAACACATAGGAGCTCCACACAGGTATGAGAAGCTTAAAAACACATATTTTAAGGTTTGCTCACTTTTAATGGTGTTTATTTCGCTGTGGTGGTTTGTGACTAAAGTCCCAACAGACTTTAGCAATCCAACTAATCAGATCCCCACAATAGATCAGAGTCAATGAAAAGTAATTGTGTGTAAATCCAAATAATCATAGGTGTTATTCAAGGCAAAAGATTCAGTTTAAGGCGAGTAATCACTAAGGGTGTCACGATTTCGATTTTAAATCGAAATCGGTCGAAATTTATGCTCACTTTCGATTATTGAATCAAAAAATAGAGTCGTCGATGCTGCCACGCCCCCATGACAGAGCTTAAACCCTCTACTCTTTCAATAAAGTCGCCGGTGTGGAAGTATTTTGGATTTCCAGTGAGTTATGTTGACAACGTTCGTGTTGTCGAAAAAAAAAAAAAACACAGTTTGCAAGCTCTGCTATGTACGTATTAGGGTTGGTCCGATAGTTGATGGGCGCATAGCGATCCTCCGCCCCGGCCCCGTTGCAAATCCTCTCGCGAAAAACCCACACTCAGGCCCTGTTTACACTAATAGGTCTTTGTTTTTAAATGGCATTTTAGAACGACAACGATCCACATCCACACTGGCGTGTAGCATTTCTGAGCAGCCCTCCTTCCTCACTACCGCTGAAAACACACATTACGTGACCATACACACTCATTCACACACAGACACAGACGCACACACAGTCATGCGCTCGAGACAGCGTGTCCAGGCAGTCAGCGGGTCAGTAGACTCCTTTAATCTTTTACTTTCACACTAGTACTTAGTCATTTTAGCGAACACCTCAGATACTGTTGGCTGGTTCCTGTTGGTTGTGCACCATTTTTACCGACGCCATTATAACGACACAGATCTCTGCCTATTCATGAGTCCCGCAGAAAAAAGTGATTGACAGGTGGTAATTATGTGTGTAACTTACCTTTATTCATTTACTGTATGATTTGTTTATGGGTAAAAAAAAGACCATGCAGGTCAGGTAGTTCAAATGGTAGGCTACAAATAATTCATATGTTATTAATTAATTAATTATGCATAATCGAAAATCGAATCGAACCATGACTTTAGAATCGAAAATGTAATCGAATCGAGGATTTGCGTTGGGACTGTGGTTTATGCATACATCCCTCAAAATTATCTATAGCTGTGGCTTTTGATGATTCAAAATGCAAGTCAATAGCACTTTTGCCTTACAAAACCTCAATATATCAGTAGCCAGAAACATTAATTGTGTTACCTAATTATGTTGTATTCTTATCTTAATGTGATAGTAGATTTTAATTTTTTATGTTATTAATGGCCTGAGATCAGTTTCAGTTGATAGCCTATTTTAATGCTCCTCTTAAGCTAAAAAAAACATTTTGAATGGTTTCATAGTAAATAATTTCAAGATTTCTTCTAAATAATTTTGTATATAACTTCATTCAATAATTTTCTTTTTGGCTTAGTTCCTAGTTATTTATCTGGTGTCATCAGTGGAATGAACCACCAGCATGTATTTTACACAGTGGATGCACTTCCAGCTGCAACCTAGTACTGGAAAACACCCATATACACTCATTCACACACACACACATACACTATGGCCAATTTAGTTCAGTTCAAACCGGAGCACCAGGAGAAACTCACACCAACATGAGGAGAACATACAAACTCCACACAGAAAGGCCAACTGACCCAGCCGAAACTCGAACCAGGGACCTTCTTGCTGTGAGGCGACAGTGCTAACCACTGAGCCACCGTGCCACCCCTGCATCTGTCTTAAGAAGGCTAATTCAAAATCTAACACTAACATCCTATTATCGTCGGCATGGCGTCCTTTATTTTTCCTGCATGGTCCACGTGTCTCATACCTTTAATCTTAAGGGGCCCAAATCTCAGCGAATACTTGGCGCTTTCCCATGGCTATCACGTCTACCTTTTGAACGCAGGTTGAAAATGTCATTTCCTTACCTGTGAAACGGAATCCGGATACCCTTTTATAATCTCTTCCCTATTGGTGTTCCTTTCAGCGATCGTCCGGGCCCCCCAGGAGTGAATGACGCTCCCCCCCATCCCTTCCACACCCTGACGAGGATGACAATGGAAGAGATGAAGAATGAAGCGGACGCGACCTCCATGGTATCCATGACCCTCTACGCCGTGATGTACCCGGTGTTCAATGAGGTACGGCGGTTCATTTCCAATGTGTGTGAGAGAGTGCTCAAGTGTGGTTGTGTTGACACAGGCTGAAGTTTAGGATTAGGAGATGCAAATGATGCACACCCACATGCTTTTTTTATTGAACACAAGTGAATAGCTTCGTTGGATACAAATGTCCAATTTCTGCTTTTGTACACTTGTTCCTGTTGTAAAAAAAAAATAACACTGAAATCTCACAGCCGCTGGTAGCCCATGTACAAACTGGGGAACACATTCATTCCTACATTTTGAAAGTAAACGTGTGAAGTTAATAAAGATAAATTGACCATTTCAAATAAACATATTTGTACTTCAGTAAACATAAATAAACCATCTTAATTATCTCGGTGGTGAAAAAAGTGAGAGACGGTAGTCTGTTAAGCCTGGTTTATACTTCTGCGTCAAGTGACCGGCATAACCCACGGCGCATGCAACGCGCGTGGCTGTGCATTTATACTTCTGCGCGCTGTCTCTGTTGGTCTGCATTAACACTTCCGAAACGCTAGTTGGCAGTGAGGTATAAATGTTCCTCTGTGTCGAGTTTCCTCGCTGCTGTTTTCCACTTCCTGGATGTACAAGTGGTTCAAACTCGCTCATTTTAAGGCAGGAACCGGCGGACGTGTAAGAACTTTAACTATGAGGTAAGCACAAAACAAAACTTTCCATCCAGAGCTCCTTCACGGGACTCCACACTTGTAAACAATCACTCCATTGGGCTAGCGCCGCTCGCACGGCTCTCGGTTCCACCCAGACTCGTCAGCGCTACCAAGCCGACCAATCACAGAGCTTGCGCTACGCGTTATTGCGACGTGTAGTTAAATATTTTGAGAGGTGCACGTCAGTGATGGCGACGGTCACGGCGAAGGGCGTTTGACGCAGAAGTATTAATCAGCCTTAAGTTAACTAGGGGTGTCAAAATTAATTCTCTTTCTTCGGTGCACTGCGATACAGACGCGGACAATTCGGTATCAGTTCAGTAATAATCATAACCAGTTATTATGTACTGATGTCATTTATGTCCTATGCGCTCTGTCGCGAAGGAGTTGAGCGCGGGTATTTACAACACTCCAGGAGCCAACTCAGGGCAGGCCAGTGGCATAGGCAGTATAGGCAGATGCTAAGGGCGCTGTACATCCAGGGGGAAATAGAAATGAGTGCGGTTAAGTTGGTTTTGTTTTAAATATTCCTGACACATTCAGTGATAGACGACAATAACTCAAAAACCTCTTACCCTTAAAAGATCTAAAGTGTGTTTCCTACAAAAAAACAAACAAAGCTGGTATGATTTACAGCTGTCTTTTTCTCTTTTTTCGCTCAAGATCGGCTTCCCCATTTAAGCCCTCGCAGCATGCGTTTAGCCGGGAGCGCTCGCGCTGAGCGGAGCTCTCAGTAAGGGAAAAGTGCTTCTTTTATTCGTATTTTTTTTTTTCGTTTTTTTTTTTTTTTTGCTCAGCGCGAGCTCTCCCAGCTAAATGCGTATTGCGAGGGCTTAACGCCTGTTTCACGCCGCAAGCGTCAGCAGCGCGTGAGCAGAGCGTGAGCAGCGCGTGTGTTTTCGGCGTCCATGTTAACAGATTAGAGCTTTCATACCGCACGCAGCAGCAGCGCGTCAGAGCGAGGCGTGAGCGTTGCTGAAGCAGCAGTGCAGCGATAGTTTCAGCGCTGGGTCTATTTTTGACGCGCTGCTCACGCTCAATTAAAGTGACAGTGCATTGATAATGACCAAAACACATTGAAAGACAGTAAAAAGTAGCAATTTTACCCAATAAATGCGTTAATAATGTCAAATGGTTTATATATAATCATTTAAATTCACTTAAAACGATTTAAAACGGCAACAAACATTTATTTAGGCCCGAACTACAAAACCAAATGTAAAACAATTTTAGTATCAGTTTTGCTTAAGTTGCACGCTAGTGTTGTAGGAGAGGGGAAATAGAATATTTACGGGATTTGTAGTCCATGGCGAAGTGTATTGTGGGTAGTGTAGTTCGACACGCATGCTGGATGATGTGAGCTCGCTGTGTTCTGTGCAGCTGAGCAGAGGAAGAAAGTTTTAATCGGCTTTGTTTTATGTTCAGTCGAATTATTCCTACCGGGAGCTGTTTGCACAAATTGCACTCTGAATCTGACAACACGAAAATAAGTAAAAGAATGGCATGCATTGGTTACTTTTGTCCGTCTCATCAACTGCACGAGCATGAATTAACGAGCTGTTTTTCTGCCGCTGGACATCACTGAAGCGGAGAAATTAACACTAGTTTGATCGTGTATAAATATCATTATAACTATATTGTATAAATATTATTATAACTAGGTCTACAGCAACCTGATAATCAAAAACAAATGACATCATATCACAGGCGATTGTCTTCTGACTGTAGACACTTCTCATATAAGTTAGATTGAGAAGCATACAGCACTATTTGATCTATAGAATTTGTAAAATAAACATTTGCAGGTTAAAGAAACAGCATAGGAGGGGCCTTGGTGCAGATGAAAAGTTTAAAAAGTGTATTTGTATATAGAGAGACATGGGTAATTAGGTAGAATAGACAGAGACAGGTTGATCTCTGCAGCAGCTGCCGAAGAGTTGCGCGCTGCAGACGCAGCTGGTGTGAAAGGCAAACGCCTGCGTGCTGCTACTGCTCAACATACGCGCTGCTCACGCTCTGCTCACGCGCCGCTGACCCTTACGGTGTGAAACAGGCGTAAGTGTGTGTGTGTGTTTATGAATCCTACAGAATGAGTTTAATCAGAGAGTAAAGCTGCACACAGTCTCCTGTGATGGTTGGGTTTAGGGCTGGGGAGGGGTGAGGGGAATACAATATATGGTTTGGACTGTATAAAATGAATGGAAACCTATGTAATGTCCCCACTTTTCACAAAAACAAACATATTTATTTTTATGTGTCTCTGAACCAGTTGGGTATGTTTGCTGAAAGAATTGTTGTGAGGGATTGTTGTTTGTTGTAGGACTTTCTCTGCTATCCTGCCTTTAGACAGTGATATTGCTTGGTGATGGCGCCGCAGATGTGCAATCATGTTGGAAGTGTTTCTGTTTGAGTAGGCTATACGTGTAAAATAAATACTTGCACAATGTGTTTTCGTTCATTTGCGTCACACTCAACGGCAAAACCGAAATGTGCTCACACCGCAGATTTGAAAGACACCGATGTGGTGAGAAATCCGGTGCTTCCTTGTAATGTTGCCTTACTTCACCGCCGCCTGCCATGTTAAAGTGTAGAATGATGGTTAAGCGCCCCCTAACTTTAGAGCATAATGATTGAATAATTACTTGCGGGGAGGAGTTTCCTCATTTCAGCTCGTAGACTTACAGGCACACACAAACAGTCAATTCGGAGAGATATAAAATGCACACAAATTATTTAAACGTAAAACCGCAATTCACAAGCGCATATTGAACTGTGGATGTTGTACCGAACAATTCAATATAATATTGAGAATTGTGGCATCCCTAATGTAAAACATATAACAGATGACAGAGTGATAAAATAAATAATAATAAAAAAGAATTAATATTAAAATGTAAAATAAATATATATATAAATACAACTATAATAAATATATACTAAATAATATATATATACTAAAGTGAAAGTACCCGCCCCTATTATGTCAGTAGCAGACTTAGTTGAAACCACAGGCAGTCAGGCAGCATAATACAGAGAGTGATTCACTACTGATGTAACGGGGGCAGATACTTTCACTTTTCACTGCTACAGCCCCTCACCTCTTTTCGTGTTCAAACCAAACTAACATCTGTGCGGTTTTTCACATGGCAGGTTTTTACCCTTCATACATGTTGAGAGATCGAGTTGATCGACTTGTTAAGGGAATATATCGTGACATAACCCACAAAGACGTGACTTAGTAAAGTGTAAAAGTACTGTATGATTTTAATCATCGCATTAGTCTGAATGCAAATCCCCTCGTCAGGCAACGCTGGAGCAACGTGAGAGAGTGGACCAAAGCACATCAAGCGAAAAGTATTAACAAAAGAAAAATACACAACTCAAGACACTTAAATGCTTGTGTTTGTAACAGCTCTGTGATGCTCGTTCACAACTTTATGCATTGGGTTGTCCAGTCTCTGTGTTCAGTCCCTTACAATCATTGTTGGAACCCAGACAGGCAGTGTCTACAGAGAGTGGAGCAACGCGCATCAAATGATCGGTAATTAAAAGGTGAAAAAAGAAAAATAGAATAAATATCTATACTTTTATATTAGACACACATCTGATGCTTGTATTTGCAGCAGCTCCACGTCCAAAACTTCACGCATTGGGTTAAATTAGGCTTTACAGTCTCCTTTACTTCCCCTGTATCTGTTCAGCTGAGGGAACTGAACCAACCCCGTGACGTCAGACACAGCGACATTCCAAATCTATAGTAAAACATGCTGTTTTTCTGCTGAATAGTTACATTAATCAAGCTTGTTTAATATGTTTTTATTAAAGTGGAATCCAATGTACTATATATGATTTCTATAGTATTTATTTGCTTATTATATGGTTACAGGATTTCAGCTTTCATCAAAATATAAAATTTTGTGTTCAACAGAATTAAGAAACTCATAGGTTCAGACTCACTTGAGGGAGTGTAAAAACTGATTTTTTTGGTGAACTATCCCTTTAAGCTGGTGATATACTTTTAAATGGTCTTTATATTCACATGGTTAAAACAGTCTACATGTGAGCCTGTGGATTGTTTCCTGTTTCTATAATTACTGGCAAAATCCACACCCACGGCCAAGTGTATTTCCATTTTAATGTGGTGATAATGCCTGTGTGTAATGTATGCAACACTAAAACCAAACAGGCTGCTTTATCTAGCAGTAAATGAAGATGGCTTGTGTGTGTGTGTGTGTGTGTGTGTGTGTGTGTGTGTGTGTGTGTGTGTGTGTGTGTGTGTGTTACAGCTGGAGAGTGTAAATCTGTCTGCGGCACAGACTCTGCGAGCTGCTTTCAAAAAGGTGAGCAAACATGATGTTGTTCTGTCATTACCTCAGGGGTCTGCCTTCCTTAGCTTGATCTCTAAGTTATTAGCTCCCCTGTGAAGTTTCATGAACCGTTTAACTTTAACTTGCGTTTATGTAACGGAAGTGTGAAACTGGTGAAAAAATGAATAAAATAAACAAGAATTATGTTGAGTTTGACAGCAACATTAAAATGCTACAAAAGTGCAGAACCCAAAGTTTTAGTGTTGATTTAGTTTTATCTTTCTTTTTTTTTTGTCGTGACATCCTTCCTGAAATATCTGGCGTCCCAAGAGCTTCTCAAGTTTTTCTTGCGCTAACTGCTTTTGCTGTCTCAGCAGTGTTATTTCTGCTCATGGCTTTGTAAAAATGTTGCATAACAGTCATATAAATCATCAGATTTATTACCCGCCAAAGCATTTTGACATGTTTATGTTTCCCCAGTAACAATAAAACAGGTCAAAGACAAAACATTCCGTCAAATGATATTTTACAAAAGTCATTTTTATATACGGTCAAGCACGAAATGATTCATACCCTTGCAAAATCTGACTTAAAGTTACTTTTATTCAATCAGTAAGGTTTTTCTTTGACAGACTTCTGCCAAAATATAATAAGAGGATGTACAAGAGGCATCATTGTGGAAAAAAAAATCTCTGTTTTTATTTTTAGAGATGATGTTCTCAAGATGAATGCATACTTTGGCACCAAAGGTCAAACAACAAAAAATAAGTCAAGAATCAAGAGTCAGATCTGAGTTTCAATAGTCATGTCAAAGCAGTCAGTAAATCAGCATGCTATCATCTCAAAAACATTGCTAGAATCAGATGCTTTGTTTTCAGTGAAGACTTGGAGAAACTTGTTCATGCTTTTATCAGCAACAGGGTGGATTACTGATTCTCAAAAAGACAGTCAGACAGTTGCAGCTCATCCAGAATGCTGCTGCAGGGTTCTGACCAGAACAGAGCACATCACACTTGTCCTCAGGTCTCTACACTGGCTCCCAGTTACATTCAGAATAGATTTTAAAGTATTATTACTTGTCTATAAATCACTAAATGGCCTTGGACCTCAATACATTACAGATATGCTCACTGAATACAAACCTAACAGATCACTCAGATCTTTAGGATCAAATAAACTAGAAATTCCAAGAGTTCAGTCAAAGCAGGGTGAATCAGCTTTCAGCTACTACGCCCCTCACTGCTGGAATCAGCTTCCAGAAATGATCATATGTGCTCCAACATTAGGCACATTCACATCAAGACTGAAAACACATCTGTTTAGCTGTGCCTTTACTGAATGAGCACTGAGCTACATCTGACAGATTGCGCTATCATGTTTTTCTCTTCTTTTTTAATTTTTTTATGACACATTTTATCTGCCTGTTTTTTTTTTAATCATTTTTATTATTTGTTTTTATTCTTCTTATAATTGTTTTTTTATTCCTCTTTTTGTAAAGCGCTTTGAATTGCCACTGTGTATGAAATGTGCTTTATAAACTTGCCTTGCCTTGCTTTACATTCGAACAAAACCTTTAAGTCAGAATTTGCCAGGGGTATGAGTCATTTTAGGCTTGACAGTAAATGGAATGAATAATAAATGCGATTAAAGTGTCTATAGGACAATAATGGGTGAAATAATAATGTTCCATTGTCATTAAGCATCATAGCTATGTTAGTTAATAATGTAAAAATTTAATTTAATAATAAAATAATGTAATCTGATGTATTTTTCGTAATTTTGCAACCACTATGTGTGTGTATATATATGTATGTATTTTTCTTCTTTTTTAAAATATTTCCCAAATGATGTTTAACAGAGCAAAGAAATTGTCACAGTATGTCTGATAATATTTTTTCTCCTGGAGAAAGTCTTATTTGTTTTATTTCAGCCAGAATAAAAACAGTTTTTAATTTTTTAAAAGCCATTATAAGGTCAAAATTATTAGCCCCTTTAAGCTATTTTTTTCTGATAGTCTACAGAACAAACCATCATTTTACAATAACTTGCCTAATTACCTTAACCTAATTAACCTAGTTAAGCTTTTAAATGTCACTTTAAGCTGTATAGAAGTGTCTTGAAAAATATCTAGTCAAATATTATTTACTGTCATCAAGGCAAAGATAAAATAAATCAGTTTTAAGAGATGAGTTAATAAAACTATTAGGTTTAGAAATGTGTTGAAAAAAATCTGCTCTCTGTTAAATTCTGACTTCAACTAATATATATATATATATAATTTTATACCATCTATAAATTTCTAACCATTATGCTTAAAATTGAAACAACATATTTATTGTATTGTGACCTGTACCCAAAATATATTAGATAATATGTGGTTCATGCTAAATTCTAAATTATGATTTGTTTTAAGTACTGATGGCAAAGAGAGAACTTGGCAAAGTATAAAGATTTGACAATTAAATTCATTTAAGAGTCTTTTAATGTCTAATTATGCCTGATTTTGATTATTTATTTATTTATTTAGTAGGTGAGGTGTCTTCTGTAAATCATGGTAAAAATGTTCATATATATGTTCATAATAGTCAAATACTTATTAATAAAATGTACTGTTGAAGTCAAAATTATTAGCCCTTGTGTGATTTATTATTATAGTTTTTTCTTTTACATATTTCCCAAATTATGTTTAACAGAGAAAGGAATTTTTCACAGTATGTCTGATAAAATTGTAACTTCTGGAGAAAGTCTTGTTTTATTTAGGCTAGATTAAAAGCAGTTGTTAATTTTTTTAAAAACATTTTAAGGTCAAAATTATTTGCCCTTTTAAGCTATATTTGTTTTTGATAGTCTACAGAACAAACCATCGTTACACACTGATTTGCCAAATTACCTTAACCTGCCTAATGAACCTAGTTAAGCCTAAAAAATGTCACTTTAAGCTGTATAAAATGTCTTGAAAAATATCTTGTCAAATATTATTTACTGTCATCATGGCAAAGATGAAATAAATCAGTTATTAGAGATGAGTTATTAAATCTATTATGTTTAGAAATGTGTTGAAAAAAAACTGCTCTCTGTTAAACGGATATCTGGGAAAAAATATACAGGGGGGCTAATAATTCTGACTTCATCTGTACTTCTTTAGTTGTGGACTAATTTTGTGCTGTGTTTTTCTAAATCAGGCAGAGAAGGAAAACCCAGGACTGACTCAGGACATTATCATGAAAATACTGGAGAAGAAGAACGTGGAGATCAACTTCACCGAGTCTTTATTACGCATGGCTGCTGATGATGTTGAGGGTGCGTATTCTTTTTAAAGAATAAAACAGATTTTCAATGCAGTTGTGTTAACATTGCGCCTCCAGGGGGAGCTGTTTGACCACGAATTAAAAGCTCTGTAATGACTGTAATGTATTTTCCCTCATAATTTAATTTCCTCCTTTTTGCAAGTGTTTTTGACATCTTCAGATTTATGCTGCTAATTAATGCGCGGACATGCACTGGGCTTTCGGTTAATGCTCATTTCTGTTGATTTGAAATGCTAAATGTACCTCAGAATTGAATCTCAAGACCACTGTCAGACCCTCAGTTTGCTCTTCCTACTGTAATCTATCCTGTGTCTATGAAGTTACCTTGCTTAACATGATAGTTTTGAAGTGAATGGAGTCATCTGTAGTTCATTTCTCAGTTTAGCGCAGTGATGAGTGTGGTACGGTTTCTCAGTGCTGATGGTTGTCAGTCATTGTCGGCCATTTAGAAGTAGTTAATGTTCCATTATGTTTCGCAGTTTAATGACAGGTTATTAGAAGCAAGTCTGCTGGTGTTGCCATGGCAACTGAGCGTTTCCTGTGGGCGTGTTCTTTGTGTGCAGAGTACATGATTGACAGGCCCGAGCGGGAGTTCCAGGACCTGAATGAAAGAGCTCGCGCGCTGAAACAGATCCTCAGCAAAATCCCAGACGAAATTAATGACCGAGTCCGATTCCTGCAGACAATCAAGTGAGAACACATTCTTGCCCACATGCATGCACGGATCGACACAAAAACATGAAGTAAAAAAGAAAAAAGGCTTTCATTTCATTACGTCAGTCTTTACTTGCGCACTTGCCTCGAGTTTCGGGGACTTTTTTTTTTTTGTGTTTGTTTGATATTTGAAGAAATCTCTGGCTTGTATTTCACCCTAAAACCAAAAGCAAAATATAATTTTTGAACATTTTATATAACGAAGCCTGTTTTTAAAAGCTGCAATATTCCGTTTTTTGATTATTTAGTTTTCTGTTTATTCCAGGTGCTTTAAATTTCACTAAATGAAGCCTGTTTTTAAGAGCTGTAATTGTTTTTTGTTTCTTTCTTCCTTCTAATTGTAAAATGAAATTTGACATCCATATTTGATCGTTTTACAATGTAGATAAGTATATGGGAAAACCTTTATAGGGGCTTTCGTGCTGTAGGAATGTTTTTATAGTTCCTAGAACTACAGTAATAGCAGAAGTACTTTTTGCTATTTTTTTTATCACACGAATTGGGAATGATTCTAGTTATAGGAACATCTCTATTGGGAACTAAGGGTGCTTTCACACCTGTGAATTGATTCGGTTGTTCCAAAACAGCGATTGAAATTGTTACAATGTTGCTCTTTGCTCTTGGTGCGGTTCACTTTCACATGGCAAAGTTTCTAAACGGACCAAAAGAGCTAAAACAAGTCATGTGTGAGTAAACTCTCCTTACACTGGTCAGAGTTTTTAAGGGTTTATTTTGCAGAGCTCAGCTGTCATGCGTCCTTATTTTAATTTATGGCGATGAGCAAAAAGTCAAAGTCAGCATTATTGTCAATTCAACCACATGTACAGGACATATAGAGAATCGAAATTACGTTACTCTCAGACCCTAAGTGCCTAACAGATGATGTTAATACAAAAATAGAGTTTTAAGAAAGAATTTACAATAAATACAATTGTATATAAAATGTAGTCTAAATATATACATAAAACGTTGTCTAAATATACAGTTAAAGTCAGAATTACTAGCCTCCTTTTGATTTTGATTTTCTTTTTTAAATATTAAATATTTATTTTGTTTTATTTCGGCTAGAATAAAAGCAGTTATGAACTTTTTAAAAACCATTTTTGGGACAAAATTATTAGTCCCTTTAAGCTACATTTTTTTTCGATAATCTACAGAACAAACCATCATTATACAATAACTTGCCTAATTACCCTAACCTGCCTAGTTCACCTTATTAACCTAGTTAAGCCTTTAAATGTCTCTTTAAGCTGCATAGAAGTGTCTTGAAAAATATGTAGTAAAATATTATTTACTGTCATCATGGCAAAGATAAAATAAATCAGTTATTAGAAATAAGTTTTTAAAACTTTTATGCTTAGAAATGTGCTGAAACAATCTTCCCAGAACAGAACAGATATTGGGGGAAAAAATAAACAGGGCCGCTAATAATTCAGGGGGCTAATAATTCTGACTTCAACTGTATACATTAAATATATACCTAAAATGTAGTCTGAATGTATACATAAGATGTAATCTAAATATATAGATAAAATGTAGTCTAAAGAATAAAAAAGAAAGAATAAAAATTTGTAAACAATACAATACAAGTTAGGAGGGTATAATACAAATAAGACAATATAAGTGGAAAGCTGCTCTTTAATTTTGAATGGTGACGCCCACAAACATCGTCACCAGATATAAGACTCTCTCTCATACAGAGCCCTTGGCTAGACTGCAGTTCAGTCAATGTTCCTAACAGATAAACAGCTCTCGTTAAAAGTTAGCATGCTTTCACTTTCGTATTTAACATGAATGACATCCCACCCTACTCATAATTCTCTCTTCTTATAGCTATATATGCCTAATACCACTACAATCCATTCGCTGCAGAGTTTGTTTCAATAGAGCTGAGACCACCTCATTCAGGCGATCTCAGGCCGATTGATTTGGCGCGGATCTGTGCGCGATTGCTGGTTTCGCGTATGCCAAACAAACCGCACTAACTGGGCAAACGAGACAGGTTCCGAAACAAAAGTCTAGGTGTGAAAGCAATCTAAATTATCTTTTTATTCAGAGCAGGTTCCGATACCGCACAATAGGAACTAATAGTCAAGTACATTATTATTACTATTATTAGTTTATTTGATAGGCTGTGAATACTGATGTACATGTGATTTTTCAGGTTTTTTATTTTGAATAAATTTGCTACAATTTCATAAACTCTTTTTTCACATTGTCTTTTTGGGGTATTGTGTGTAAAATTGAGGAAAACATTTTTTTTAAAATCCATTTTGGAATAAGGCTATAACATAAAAAATATGTGGAAAAAATGAAGCGCTATAAATACTTTCCGGATGCACTGTATGCATGCTTATGACAACTGTTATTCAGTGTCATTTACTCAGTTATGCCATTTTAAATGCAAAGATGACATAAAGAATAAATCACAACCAGACTTCATCTTTGTCATGATGAAGTATAGAGTAAGTATACTTATAAATACTTATTATATGTAATAAGAAGTATGATTGGGCAGAAAAAGGTACCCTCCAGCTCTGCGTGAGCTTACTGTGCACCTACGGGAAGAAGGGGACTGGAGGCTTAGAGGGTTTCTCCTTCTTGTTAGCCTCCACATAACACCCTTCTAATTGGAGATCCTCCAGCTCCACCGCCGAAGCAACCCGAGTTAGCACAGCCATAATATCAGATCCCATATCGTGAGCCTCGCTCACTACCTCTAATGAGGAAGCGGGTCAGAATTGTCGTAGTATAATAACAGCCCACCCTCCAATGCAGCGATGGTCATCTGGTCCTCGCGAGAGAGAGCGATCATCCCAGAGAATGGAGCACTTCTCTCACGCGAAGATGGATGGAGCACCCTGAGGAATGGGAGGTCCGCGAGCCCGAGGGCAGCCGATTAACCCTCACTGCAACCCTCAGATCTGCCCAATGGACTTGCGGGTCACTTTAAAATCACCTTAATAAATGACTTTTAAAAGGTTTTGTATAAAAGGTACAATAACACTAAATTAAAGCTTACAAACAGTTTATATTTTTGTGACTGAATGTTTTAAATTCTCTTAAAATCCACATGGTCACGGTATAATCCCAATTGACATTCAGATTTTGTGGTTATTGTGGTTGTGCACACAGCAATATCGATGCTGAAACAATATATTGTGTACCCCTGAAGACAACTGTTTATTAAACTTCGCAGGCGTTTTACCCTCACATAACTATATTACAAACTATATGAAGGGTAATATCTGAAAATGAAATTAGAGATGCTTTTATAAGGGTTATAAATGCAGCTGAATGTTTGTTTATTTTGTTTCTATAGAGATATAGCCAGTGCCATAAAAGAGCTGCTGGACACAGTGAACAACGTCTTCAAGAAATATCAGTACCAGAACAGAAGGGTGAGTGACAACAGCACACACACACACACACACACACACACACACACACACACACACACACACAGCAGCCAGTATGTGCTGGATAACGTCAACTTTATCCTTCACTTACTGAAGGAAGAAATGAAAATGTCTTTGTGTTTTCCAGGCACTTGAGCATCAGAAGAAAGAGTTTGTGAAACATTCGAAAAGCTTCAGCGACACTCTGAAAACATACTTCAAAGACGGAAAGTATGGACGTTTTCAAAAAAATGACCCTTTATCTTCTTTGAAAGTTTGAATTATTTGCTTTTGCATTTTTCCAGGCAAAACTAGTTTAGCATTTTTATTGTGAGAATGGATAGTGCAGATCTTGTTGATGTTCAGTATTAATTGTGCCTCCTTTAAAGCAAGCAATGATATTTCACACACACAAAAAGGATAATGATTTGATAAAGAAATATAGACATATAAATCCACACACTAATTAACTGTCACACAACCCTTCTGGGTTCTTCTGATATGCAAATATGATCTGTTGGTAAAATGCAACTTCAATATTGCAAGAACGTTGCAAAATGTTTTTGCACATGAATTCATCATGGCTTCCATTTAAAAAAAGAGGAAAAAATTCAAAGGGGGGCTAATAATTTTGACTTTAACTATATATATATATATATATATATATATATATATATATATATATATATATATATATATATATATATATATATGTATATATATGTATATATATATATATAT